ACCCTGAAAACCAAAGCCAGACAGAAACACCACACGAAAACTACATACCAGTATCTCTTATGAATATAAATGTAAAAATCCTCAACCAAAAAACAGTAGTGAACCAAAGTAGAAGAAGGGCAAGCATGATGCTGGGGCAGAAAGAAGGTACAAGGAAACAGAGGAAAGACCTAGGAAACAAAACTATGGATAGAGGTGTAAACATAGGTGTGCACTTATGTAAATATATTAATTCATAAAAATAGAGGTATTGGCCTATGTACATAGATTTATATGGAAATACATTGAGGAAGTGGATGGACTTTGGGCCTCTGCTCAAGCCCTCCCTCAACACAAGAACACTTTATTCGAACAACCTGGCATTCTGTGATGCTCACCTTCCCTATATAACTACTGAAGACAAATGGGTGCATAAGCAAATGTGGTATAGAAAGCTGGTGGTGCCAGGCTACCAAAAGATAGAATGTCTGGGGTCTTAAAGGCTTGAAGTTAAACAAGCGGCCATCTAGCAGAAAAGCAACAAGCCTACATGGAAGAAACATACGAGCCTGTGCCATCATGAGGTGTTGACGGGATCAACACCTGAAGACCCAAAACAAACCAACAAAAAACATTGTTGAGAACGAGGGGGGTCGGAACAGAGACCCAAAAACCATCTGTAGACAATAGGACACACCCTCATAGAAGGAAGGGGTGAGTCAGTATAGCACCAGTAAAACGCACACTATTCTGGTTCCTGGAGGCTTCCTCACCCCCCACTATCATGACCCCAATCCTGCCTTTCACTGTGGGCTAGGCCAGAGCTTGTACACAGGTGCATATAAGAGCTCCGGACACATGGCATCCAGGTCAGATAAACCCATTTCTCAGGAGCAGAAATGGGAGTAGCATTACCAGGTGGGTAGAGGGAAGGTGGGGGGAGGAAAGGGGGAACTGATTGCAATGTTCGACGCATAACACTACCCCTCACCCAGGGAGACAAACAACAGAAATGTAGGTGAAGGGAGGCAGAGGTCTGTGTAAAATATGAAAACAGTAATACTTTATAATTTACCAAAGGGCCTTAAGGGGGGGGGGGTGAAGAGGAGCTGATACCAAGGGTTCCAATAGAAAATAAATGTTTAAAAAATGATGGCAACATATGTACAATCACACTTGATACAATCGATGTATAGAATGTTATAAGAGCTGTAAGAGCCCCCAAGAAAATGTTTAAAAAAAAATAGTAAACAGAATCTAACACTCTGTTAAAGGATTCTATGTTACGACCAAGTAGGATTTACCCCTAAAATGCAAGAGTGGTTTAACATAAGAAAGCTAATGTAATAAATCACATTAAAGAGAACCATATGACCATCTCACTTGGTGAAGAACGGGGATTTGACAAAACCCCAAACCCTTGCATGATAAAAATACCTAACAAACTAGGAATAGCAAAGGATACCTCAACTTGATAAATGGCATTTACAAAAACCCACAGCTAACATCACATTCCATGGCGAAAGACTGAAAGCTTCCACCTAAGATCAGAAAACAGGCGAGATGCAACCTCTCACCACTGCTGTTCATCATTTTACTGGAAGTCCTGGCCAGAACAATTAGGCAAGAAAAAGAAAATGTACCCAAATCAGGAAGGAAGAAATAAACTATCTCCATGAACGGATGACATAATCCTATATATAGAAAATCCCAACAAACTTAATTAATGGGATCAGCACTGCTGAAGAGTACAAGGTCAACACAACAATTAGCTGTGCTTCTGTGCATCAGCAGTGAACAACCTGAAGACATGATTAAGGAAACAGCTCCATTTACAACAGCACCTAACAAATAAAGGACTTAGGAATAAACTTAACCAGGGAGGTGAAAGACACACACACTGAAGGCTATAAAACCATGCAGAGATCGATTCTAGGCCTTTCAGCTAAGATCAAGTATAAAACGATGCAGAAAAAAATTTTTTAAGATGACCTCTATAAAAACTCATTTATTTATTATTCATGGCAACATCACAGCATAGACGAGAACTGCGCTTAGGTCAGTCTTCCCTGTAGTCAAAAGCCCCCTCTCCGCCTGAGCAGCTGCGGGTTCAAGCTGCTGCCCTGGTGGGACTAGGGGTCCTCTGCCTCTAGGGACTGCCAGCATGGTCTATGCTCCTGGATTAGAAGGCACACTTCATTAAAGTTGTCATTTTATGGTACATAAATGATTTATGTTAATATTTTGTAACATTAAAGATGTTCACGCTACTCAGAGTAACCTACAGATTCAAAATAATCCCCATTGAAATTCCAACATTTTCCACAGGAATTACTATAATCATATAGAAATTGAGGTAATAATTCAAAGTCACATAGGCTTGCAAGGGACCCTAAACAGTCAAAACGATCTTGAAAAAGAACAAAGTAGGAAACGTTATGCTTCCTGAGTTCAAGACGTACTATTAATGCTGTTAGCTCTGGTCCAGTGCCCTCACCACAACTGGCTGTGCTCAAACCATTGAGACCTATAGTGCTCTCCCTCCGGGTCTCATTTTCAGAGTAGATAACTTGGCCTTTTTTAAACCTCGTCTGCTTTGTCTGGAAGCTCCATTGAGCCGGCTCCAGATACACTCTAAAGCTACAATAATCAAAAGAGTAGTGCTGTGTAAGTATAGACATGTAGACTAATGGAACAGAATGCAAAGTTCAAAAATAAACCCACGGATCTATGGCCAATGTTGTAGCCTCTGTGAAAGAGTTTGGTGCCTCCTCAAAAGCTAAACATAAAACGACTGTGTGGAAAAAAGTTACTATGTGACCCAGAAATCCTACTCACGGACATAAACCCCAAAGACTAGAGGCAGGATCAAATAGATACTTAAACACTCAGGATCACAGCAGCATTATTCACAACAATAAACCGGGAGACAAGGCAGGTGTCCAATGAGGTGAACACATGACGATACGCGGTGTGTCCATGTAAGACAGCTGTAAAGAGCAGGGAGTCTCTGCCTCATGGCTGAACCTTGAAAACCTTATGCTACACCAAGTAGCCCTGGCACAAAAAGATACATATTGTCTGGTCCCACTTATGTAAGAGTAGGCGAATGCCCAGAGACAAAGCCAGAGTAGCTTCTACCAGGGCTGGGCCATAACAGGAAGAGGGGTTACTGCTTCACAGAGCACCCCAAACAGATCACCCTCGTATCGAGTCCTTGTGTATAATTTCTGATAAACATTAATAAAAATGCCCCTACCTGAGGTTACAAACAGACAATGCTGAGGGAAGAAAACAGCGAAGACCGCATCTCATTTGCTCTCCAGGTGTTAGGACCAAAGACCTCTCCCAGGTGCTACCTGCCCTGTACTGGCCCCAAAAGGAATCTCAGATTCTCCTGTCTCCCCATTAGGAAAAAGTGCATACTCTGTCAAATTAAAAGTTTAAAATAAAAACATAAGGAGGCTTCCAAATGCATGTTAGCTTTAAAAGGTAGCAAACAAAACCTACAGTGAAATTCGAATCTGCACTTTAATCCACACGGGGTCAAGGAAAGTAAACCGCTGTCACTGTGGGCTCGGCAGGCCCTCCCCTCCCCCCACAGCCTCAGCCGGAGCAGCGGTCTCCGCCCAGGCAGAAAGTAGGGCAGTTGGCTGACAACGGGGTGCAGCGGGCAGGATGAGCCCAGTGGGAGCTGCGTCACCCCTTTGTCTGTGCACAAAGGGTGAGGGAGCCCTGAGGTGAGGCCGGGCTGGGACCACTGACGGGCAGCATTCTTCCCAGGAAGCAGGAAATGGGCTAGAGGAGGCCGTGGCACAGAATCCACTGGGGCTGACTCATGGGGTTGTACGCCTGTAGTCAGCTGTGAGCCCCCTGGCGTTTCCAAGCTACTTCTGCTTAGGCAGAGGGTAGGGCTCCTCTTTCTGACCATCCCCCCTCCGGCCCCCTCAGAACAGCCCCCTCTACCCCGCCCACCCCCACCCTCCTTTCCTACTGAAGCCCACCCAGCAGCTCCACACCTCCACCTTCTCGGGCCCATCAGCCTTTAAGTCCTGGGTGCTGCAGGGGCAGACTCCCTCCTGGTCTCCAGCCCAGCCACGACTCCCTCCCTCCCAGGTCCTAGAACCTCTTGCTCCTCGCCACCCCACTGCCTGGGCCAGGACGCCTCCTTGTCCTCACCTCCATCCCAGCCCACCTCCTGGTTGCTGAGCCAGGATCTTTCCAAGTCTTTCTGTAGCAGGAGCCTTGGCTCCTGGCTCAGTCCTCGATCCCACCACCCCAACTTGCCACAGCTTCTGCCCTTTATCTTTCTCCTTGGCTCAGGGCCTTTCCTCCCTCCTCACTTGGATCAACCACGTTGCTCATGTTTCCCTGGTTCCCCCCCCCCCAGGTTCCCCCAGCAGCCCCTCTTCCAGGAACAGACTCCCCAATAGTTCCAGCCTAGTGCAGCTCCTCCTCCTGCACCCCAGCTCTTAACCTGACTGTCACAACCCACCCCCAGGGCCTCCCCTTTAAACAGGGTCAGTGCCAGTGCTGGGCCCTAGGTGGCCGCACAGTGCTCATGGGGTGTGGACAGAGGCCTGCAGCAGCCTAGTCTGTGGACTGCCACTGTCCTGGGCTGTCCTCTCTCCCCAACTTCCCTCCCTTCCCCCAGCTGCTTCTCCTCACACTTTCAGTGGAGAGTGGCTAACATTATGGGCAAATGGGGACCCAGCCCCAGATCCCCAAGTAAATACATCCCTTGCCCACCCACCGCAGGCCAACCCATGCAGGGCAGTGGGGAAATGCAGCTTGACCAGGACCTGGCCCTGGGAGGAGGGCAGAGTGGAGGTAGGGGCTGCAAAGGCAGCACTTCTCTGTGCAAGCAAGGTCCCCAGGGAGTTGTTGCTCCAGGGCAGGGCTCGGGGCAGAAGCCCAGTGCCTGGAGCTGGCTAGGACACTGGAGCCCGTGCAGGTGTAGCAAGTGGCCTGGCCCACCCGGCCTCCCAGGGGTCACAGGCTGTGGGGCCAGTGGGTCTTACCTAGGAATGTTCCAGTGAAACCCAGTGCAGAGAAGCTGGAGAGTACAAACAGGGCACCCGCTCCCAGGAGGGCGAGGCCCACGCAGTAGGCTCCGACATTATCCAGGCTCTCCATCGTGGGCTGGCTCAGCATGGCCTGTGTGAAGCTGCAGGGCAGGGACAGGGTCACTGCATGGGGTAGGCAGGAGACAAGGCGGTGGGGGACCTGCCCCACCCAGGGACCCACCCTCTCTCCCCATGCCTCAGGCTGGATAGGTGCTCAAAAGTATCCAGTGCAGGGTCTCAGCTCACAAGCCTGCTGAGTCACACAGATGGCAGACACAGGGAAGTGGGCTGAAGAGGGCCCAGGGCCAACTGGGGAGTAGAGTCCACCTCTGAATTCACTCTGGAGCAAGCACCTCCCAGCCAGGCTGGGAGTCTGTCTTCTGCTCATCCAGGCAGTATTCCATCCATCCATCTACTCATCCTTCCATTCATCAATCTAGCTTCAAACTACCCACCTACACATCTTTTCCTTCCATCCATCTATCCATCCGTCTACCCACCCATCCATCCACATACCCCACTCATCCATCCATCCACCCATCCATCCATCCATCCCTTATTAAGTGTCTGTCTGGGTACCAACCTCTTTGAAGCAAAAGGAACGTATTGTCTTTGCTCATTTACTCATTCATTCCACTGGTAAATTCAGATTTACCGAACCCAAACCCAACCCATTGCCCTGAGTTGATCCCAACTCAGAGTGCCAAGATAGGGTTTCTGAGACAGGAGCGGCCGGTGGGCTTAAACTGCCAACCTTGCAGTTAACAGTCCAACACTGACCCCACAGGGCCATCTCTCCTGGCCATCGCGTCAGTTCTGACTCATAGTGACCCGACAGGGCACAGCACAATTGCCTCCATGGGCCTCCGAGATTGTCACTCTTTACTGGAGTAGAAAGTCTCCTCTTGCTCCTGCGGGGCAGCCAGTGGGTTCAAACTGCTGACCTTGTGGTTAGCAGCCCAATACGTAACCACTCACCACCAAAGTTCCTTAAATTAGGTGGAACTAAAAAGGGCCTCCCTAGAACATTTCCTCATGTCTAGAATTTCTCCTTGGGACTTGGCACTACCTGGAGGTTTGGTACATATTCCCTGAATGGGGAGAGCTGCATCCCCCCACCCCACCTAGAAAGGAGAGGCAAGGAGGAAGAGAGGAAGAGGAGGGTTGGCAGGGAGCTGCTCAGCAACCTGTCAAATAGTAGCACTCGTGTATCAGGGCACACTGGTGCCTGGCTGTGTGGCCCACAGCTCGGACTCCCCACCCACATCACAGCGTGTGTGTACATGTATTTTTGCATGTGCATATGTGTTTGTGTGCATATGTGAGTGTGTGTAGTGATGGTAGGCCTCCATGTTCTCATGAGCTGAGGTGGCTTCCAACTGCCAGGTCTCCAGGCTGTGTGCCCACTTGCCTGTTCAACTCCGGCACCCACTCCTTGCTGCCCAGTGACACTAGTCTGCCCAATCCTGGGGTGGCTCTTGGCCAGTCCAAGGACTTGGTCCAGCAAACCCATCAGAGGAGCACACCAGCGGACCACAAGGAGGGGTCGCCAGCGAGTGAGGCTGGCTTCCAGTCGAGCTAGTGCCCGGGCTGTTTTCTATCTGCAGTCCCTACCCTGTCTCCTTGTACAGCATTCTACAAGGGGCAGACCAGCCAGGCTCCTCTACCGAGCACTAAGCACTGCACACTGACACACAGGGCCACAGCAAGGGAGGCATGAACTGACTTTGTTTGAAGACAACATGCAGGGGCACAGTACAGAGAGGCGTTAGCCAGGAGAGGGGACAGGGGACAGGGGACAGAAGAAAGAGGACATTCGGAGGATGGACAGGGGGCAAGGCAGGGGAGTGAGTGGCCCTGGTGAGCGACCTAAGCCTGCTGGGGGCCTGGGATTCACTGCCAGTGTGTGGCTAGTAGGAGCCCTGATGGCTCAATGACTATTGGCTGGGCTGCTAACCAGAAGGTCATCAGTTGGAAACCGCCAGCTGCTCCGTAGGAGGAAGGCTTGACCTCCTCCCCATAAAAAGCTCTACCCTGTCCTGGAGGGCCACCAGGAGTTGGAATTGACTCCATGTCAGTGCTTGGTTGGCTGTTTGGTTTGGTGTGGGGAGTGGCTGCTGGGGGCGGAGGCAGGAAGCCTCATGAACATGTTGGGCTATGTGGCAGGTGGTTCCTCTGCCAGGAACCATCCCCATCATCCCAACACGCACGCACGCGCGCGCGCACGCGCACACACGCAGTCTGGCTACAGAAGCAGATGCACATCCCAGACACACACACACACACACACACACACACACACACACACACACGCACGCAGATGCACATCCCAGACAAGGTTTGCAGTGTGCCTTCGCCACCCCGATGCCGGGGCTTGCAGCCCTAAGCCCTAGGGCTTCCCTGCTGACCGCCTCTCTCAGTGGCTCCAGCAATGACCTGAGGAAGCCTGACACACAGGCGAAGCCACCCCTCCCGGCCACCTAAGCCTGTGCCCTGAGAAATAACCACATTTCCACACCCACTCGCCGCTGTCGTCCACGGACAGCGTCCCTCTCCACCTCAAGACTTCTCATGGCCCCCTGTGCCCATGGGCCAGAAGGGAGACGGGGCTGGATGGGTCCAGGCACCCTGGTTCCCCGGAATCAACAGTCGGTCTGAGATTCCGGGAACCCAGAGTCAAGCTGGCAACGCTGTAGACTGCTGCCCGCTCTCTTCCTCCGTACCCATCACCCAGAGAAAAGTGAACATGCTGTGACCACACAGGTCTGCTTTACTGGAACCGAACCCCGAGGCTCTGCACAGTGCCTCCACTGAGGCCGGGAAGTACAGTCTGGCCCCTGTGCGTGATTCACGGAGGACAAGCAGCTCTCTGGGGCCATGGGCTCGGGAACAAAATGAAGTAGTAAGAGGCAATTTCCTTTGCAAACAGTCTGCATCAGGCTGTGGGGGCAGAGACACACATGCGTCTGCCTTGGGTTCTATTTTTAAACCCTGGACTGAGCTTTCCATCACCAGTATGACTTGATGCTGTCTGTACGCAGCTCCTCAGAACACCAGCAGCTCTGGGTGGGGGCAGGAGCATGTGTGTCACACAATGTGTGTGACACGTGTCCCGGTAAGCCCACCAGATGCAGGCTGCTAAAGCTCAGCTCTAGGCACGGCCTTCTCTTGGACACGGCCTGGCCCTCCCTGGTGCCGGGCCCACTCCACACTCCGGCCACACTGGGCGCTTGCGCCTTTCGGAGCACGCTGCTGGTGTTGTTCCCGCCACTTCCAATCCCCCACCCCACCCCACCCGTGTGGCAGGCAGAACTCTACAACGCCCCCAGATTCCCCACGCTGTTTTTAGCTATTCCTGCTGAGCACGGATGGCCCCTCTCAGGTAACTCTGGTGATGATCCTGGGTTCTAATCTTAAGGCCAGTGTTGGTACAAAGCGGCAGGCCTTGAGAATGCCAACTGCCAAGCTGCAGAGAGGTCCAGGCGGCAAGGAGTGGTTGGTCCGGGCCCCCAGGAGCCGGAGGCTCAGTCCTACAACACCAAGGCACCATGTCCCATGAGCCCCCAGGAGTGATGAGCCAGGGGACCCAGGGGACACCATGAGGGAAGCTCCAGAGGTGAGCGGGGGGGAGGGGGGGGGGCCTGTCCACAGGGCCAAGAGCATATGTAGGGTGTGTCATGCAGCACAGGCTGCCTCCCAGCCTGGGGGACCCCATTTGCCATGATAAATCCCACTCCCAGAACAGCCTGGCCCCGAGACCAGAGGCCATGTGCACCCACATCATCTGCCACCTGATCCGTCCCGCTGGCTGCCACCGCCATCACTGTGCTTGCACTGCCTTGCTGGTGCGGCTGCTCACTTGCCTGGCGTCCAATCCTGACTTGTACAGGAGCAGCCCTCCCATACTAGGGTACGGCAGTGACACAGCCCCCGGGGGGTGGGGGGGTGGGGGTGGGGCTAGAGTGTGCGCACGGCCTGGCTGGTTGCTGCAGGATTGCTGGGGAGCCTGGCTGCCAGACGTGGCAGGCCTGCTGCCTGCCCCCTATCGGGCCCAGCCCAGGGGTGATAAAGATGGCTGCCTGGACACCCCCTCCCCACAGTGTCCCCCAGCACCACGAACTTGCCTTCCCTCAGGAGCCTCTCAGCTCTTGCCAGCTCAGAGCTGGAGGGCAGTCTGACTCTCCCTCCTGGACAGAACAAGTAGCTGCTTCTCCATACAGCAGCAGCAGCAAAGCTGCTTTCCCGTCTGGCTGTGCCCAGCGCCCCAGGCACCTCTGGAAGCCATGGATACCCAAGCACCAGTTCTACAAGCCCAGGAGGCCCCGGGCCACATTCTGGACAAGACACCTGTGATTCCAACGTGCGTGTGGGTGTAGACTCACCCAGGCTTAGGGTCAGACGACGCTTCTGATACATACTCCCCTGTGCAAGGGCAGCATGCTGTAGGAGGAAAGGCTGAACACCTCTCCACAACCCCCTCCTCCCCATCACCCTTGCCCTGCCCAGGCTGCTCAGCCCCTAGAACCACACCACACGGGGTCAAGGTTTCCTGGGGCACATGTCCACAGGCACATACCCTTGTAGGAGTGCCTCTGACTTGGGTCAGCTGTGGGCCAGGCTCAGTCCTGCTGTAGACCTGACAGTGGCAAGGGCAGAGGATGCCCCACACAGTGCCAGGGAGGAGGCTGCAGTGCATAAGCCGTGCGGGTATCAAGGCCTATGGGGCAGAGACTCAGGACAGAGGCTCCAGAGGGAAAGTGGGTGGGCAGAGTGGGGGAGAGAGACAGGGCCCTGAGCTCGACAGACAAGTCACTGGCCAGCAGTGCTTTCATGGCCTTGCTGAGCTTTCGTGCAACCCCATGAGTAATTAGCCATGGACACCCCATTGCCCTCCCATCTAACCCAGTGCCCTCTGATCCACAGCTGGCTGACTCAGGGACGCTCCAGGGACCCAGAGTGGAGATGCCACCCACCCCACCCCCACCCACCCCCGGGCACTGGGCAGCATGTACCTATGTTATCTCCTTTCTGCTGCAGAGTTGCCAAGGCTCCAGGGGTAGCGAGCAGTGGGCCGTGGGAGTTGCTGGAGACCCTACCCTGTGATGGATCCCCAGGTGCTGCTCTTGTCTCAGTGTGGACTTCCCACTGCTATGAGCCAGGACCACAGCTGCAGGCAGTCCTGGCATTTTTGCCACCATGTTTCTTGACCCGCTGGGTCTCAACTTCCTCATCTGTAAACTGGGCTCGCTCTGGTCCCGGAGCTTGTCATCTGTCTGAGTTCAGGTGCTGCCGACCAGCTGAGCTGAGTGTTCCCTCCTGTGCCCCAGAAGCCCAAGTGACCCTAAGCAAGCTGAGCTGCAAGCCCTTTTGCATGGTCAACAAGACCTCCTTCTTGGAGCGTGGAGCAGGGCCAGGCCCCTCGAGAGACCAGGGGCCCAACCGGCCACGGCCGAAGACCAGGACCCTCATGTGGCAGACCCTCCTAACTACACCCCCCTTGCCTCGCTCTCTGCCAAGTCAAACTCATGGGAAATGCGGATGCTCCCAAGTCTGGGAGCTGGTCCGGCCGCCCTCGGCTTGTTAACTGTAAAATGGCGAGAAGGGCCACCCCACAGCTCCAGCAGGGCAGAGCATGAAATATTGTCGGCTCCCATGCTGGCAGACGCTTCTGCTGCCCCATCAGGCCCTTGAGGGAGCCGGGGCCAGGTGAGGCTGTGGCGCAGGGCCAGGCATGCCTCCACAATGTCACTGCAGTGTCCAGCCTTCACAAGGAGCCGGAAACAGCTTTCCATCTGCAATGCTTCCGTCTTTAGTGCACCACAGGGGCCGTTCAGGGCAGGAGCCACTGGCTCATGTGCAGAGGGGCGGCCACTCACTGTCTCAGAGGTGGGCGGGCTGGGCTCCTGGGCCTGGAATGCAGCTGGGAGAACACTCTAGCAGAGGGGCCGAGGGAGGGGGAGAAGCTAGCCACAACAAGGAGACCCCTCCAACGAGCCCCCACCCGAGGAGGTGGACAGCAGGCTCGCTCCAGCACCTCCAGGAGAGAAGAACGGGGTCACCAGGACTGCTCCCTTGGTCTGCCTGTCTCTTTTCCACTTGCCCCAGGCTCAGAGGAGACAGAACATCATGTGTTTCCCATGGGGGTAGGAATGGCTGTTGTGATCTGAGGCCTTAGAGCAGAAACTTCCCTCTTCCAGACCCAACAGGGGCTCTTAAGGTGGCTGCAGGCCCAGCCCTGCGGTCGGCGGGGTGTGCTTACTAGTGTGAGCGGACCAGGTTCAGGAGCAGGATGGCGCCGCCCAGCGCATAGCAGGCCAGGTAGGGTGACCCGAAGGCCTTGCTCAGTCTGTGGGTCTTCTGTTCCCATCTTGCGACCTGGATGGCAGAGAGGACGAGAGGACAGGTGAGATGTTGGGGAGTATCTTGGGAAGGAGCCAGTTCCCTAGGGAATTCAAGGTCCTGAGGTCCCAGTTCCGAGGAAGGAGGGCCACCTGGAGGCAGCTGCTCACACAGGGGCTAGTTCAGGCAGGACACAGTCCCTCTTGGAGCAAACCCTCATACCAAAGAGCAGAGACATTGGCATTGAGGGTCACCCTGGCCGGCATGTGGGTGCACAGGACCACCAACCAAAGGCCCTTCGTGGAATCTGGGCCTCGCTGTATTGAGAAGCCCACAGTGGTCTGGGAAGAAAGCAAGCTACTGGAAACAGAACTGTCCAGAGGAGTCCTGAGACTTCGTTCACCTAGACATCGCCGAAGACGCGCCCTGGCATGGGGCAGCACAAACAAGGCCTTCAAAGCCCAAGGGCCCTGGCTGAGGAACCGGGCCGGTGGGAACCCTGTGATTCGATTCCACACATCCTCCTCTCCCCCAGACACAGTGGCCCACGTGGCCTTTCGCACTTGAAGATTCTAGTCACAGAAATCCACCCCTTACTCAGCATGAATGTCCACATTCCACCATTCACAGCAAACAGGCGGTTTCGGTCCATGACCTTCCTATCTCCCTATAGACTGCTGGTCCCTACTAGCCTGCCTCCTCCATGCCCCACTGGGTCAGTGCTGCTGAGCAGGTGCTGGGAGTCAGGGCAACAGATTCCAAGTATGTAGGCAAGTCACCCACCTGGGCTCCTGGAACAAAGTGTGTGTGTGTGTGTGTGTGTGT